AGCACTACAAACAACTACAAACGATTTTAGACAGGAATCCGAGCTCATTCTGGCTATAGCTTTCAATCAGTTCCTACTTGGTCTCCAAAAATCGATTGGACGCTCATTTGATTTCCGATTCCGAAAATTCCAAAACTGCAATTAACTACAAACGATTGCAGATAAGAATCCCACGTCATTTCAAATACAACTATGAGATAGTTCCTAGCTGTTAAAAAAAATCGATTGAACGTTTATTACGATTCCGCTCGTAAAATTTCCAGAACTACAATCAACTACAAACGATTGCAGACGAGAATCCAATGTCACTCCAACTCTAACTATGGAATAGTTTCTAACTGTATTTCAAAAACGAATTGGACGCTCAATTTCAAACTACAAACAAGAAAAACGTTACTACTATCACGAGTAGCTCAAAACCTATCAATTATGAAATTTTAATTCAAATCCAACCAAGTGGGGTGCCCACTTCACGGAGCTGATTTCGTGGCTGCAGAAGAGCACAACTGACCAATGAGAAAACTCGGACCCTATGGGGAAACTGCAATCTTGGAATGGGGAAAACCACACCCAGGTCTGCTGTCAATGGCCATAAGAACCCCATAAAATACGCAAATGATGAGGACTCTGTGACATTAATTGTGGGGAGACCGACTTCCAGACGTCCGTCAGAAACCGCTTGAGGGTGACCACAAGAGGGTCATAAAAATCTGCCTAATGGAAAAACCAATAATCACCGAAAAATCTAGCACTCGAACGTGCCCTCGAAACGCATCCGATCCAGGTGCAAATTGAGATGCTCCATGACGAAAATGAACGAATTAACAGTTGACTTCCCACTCATCGGTACGTTTCCCTTTTTCCATTCAATGCATTTGGCATTCTTCACCGGTCCAGTTTTAATGAATACAAGGTATAACACCTGGATGAAGGGATCACCCCTTCCCAAGATTATGCTTTTGTTTATCGCCGGTCAGGGGATCACGACGTCATCCCATGCGCACGTGCGCTCGTTAAAGTCCGATGGATCGGAAATTATGGCGATTTCCACCCCATTATCACTCCCCCTCGATTGACGAGCATCACCATTATGAAGGGTCAAAATGAAATTCCTAGAATTATAAAAGGGGACCGATTCCGTGAATCCCTTGTATTACGCGAGGTCCTAACGCACCCTCATTTTCCGCCCTCTTCACCACAGATTTGTTCGGCGTTCGCAGGGGTCATCAATTGATACGAATGCCCAAATTTGAGCATCCCGAGGGGTTATTCATTATCGAATATCTTGACTCAATGATTGCTGATTTCAAGTGATTTCAAGGAATTATTGATTTTAAGTGATTTCATAAGATTTTGTTTCCGATTTCATGACTTTAAATGATTTCAACTGATTTCAAATTTTCTATTTCACCTATCTGCGCAATTGCCTCAGGACAACAAATAGAATAAAGTGGGTAAAAATTACCGAGAAAAGCGTGACAAAATTTACAATACGAAAGATAATAGTGGAGCTAAATGTAATTCAGTGGAAAAATACCTGTTTATGGCAACTGAGCAAAATCGGACCGGGTGATGAAATAAGACCTTGTGAATTGCAAACAACTTGCAACGGGGAACTCATTGTACGACAGGCAATGAAACGGATCGAACAGGAGTGATAGGCAAAAAATTGAGACTTATAAGGTCCTGACGATTAAACAGGAACAATAGGTCGAGAAATTAATTTCTCTTAAAAAATGTGTATGTGTGTAATGTGAATTTTTTTATGCCTTTGAGTGATATTAAAGATAGCGCCAAAATGTCCTAATTGGTCACAAATTCAAAAGTTTATGAACAAATAATCTCTAAAGCTTATGAACATGGCATACTCATTTAATTTCAATTTTTTTTAAAGAAAAAAGTGTTTACATACATGAAGAGAAAATTTTTAGGATAATTTCAGTTAAAAATATCTATACTCGCTTTTTTTCTCTGATGAACAATTTATTTGAAAAGTCAGATAAGGATCTAAATTATTTTTTCCAACCTTCTTTCTTCTGACCTACAGTACTAAACACGTTTAACAATGATTTGTTAGATTCCCCAGAAATACCGATCTGTTTTGAGAATCCTAAAATTCGATAGAGTTGTGTTTCGTTTTTCTTTCCATAATGCTGTCGCGGAGAGAGGACCCCTGTTGATAAACCATATTCGTCAAAAGGTGTGATGAATCGATAATAAATTTTTCTTCCTTTCTTATACGTTTCGAAATGAATTTTCTTATCTTACCGATTTGGTGATTGCAAGTGATTTCACTGGTTTCAAATGATTGCAAGTGATTTCATACGAAATCACTTACAATCGGTGAAATCACATGATTTCACTGATTTCATTTGATTTCACTTGATTTTAGAACAGATTCCATGTGATTTTAGAACTGATTTCATGTGATTTCATCCCAGAGTGACAGTGATTTCACCAGTGAATAACATCGGGGCATCCTGGTGCTAGGACATCGGGTTGTTATGAACCCAACCGTAAGATACTTCCAGTCATAGAATAATTCTGACTTGTTTCAGACAACTTATTTGGACCCTACATGATATATTAAAAATCAATTGGAGCGGAATCCTCAATTGATCATAGGATTGGAGGACGATTAATGTGCGGGGCTTCGGGGACCCCTCCGTCGCCCCTGCCACGGAGCGATCTGCAGCTGTTCCTGCCGCTATAGTTTCAGCTTCATTTACTCTTTTCAGACACTTTTCATAGTTTATGTGTCATCCATGTTCTTTTCTTGAATTACAGATCGGCTTTTATTTTTCTCTTTTTTTATCGGTTGATTAAAGTGGTATGAATAACCTCCAGTTGCGTTGTTAAGTGTAACGAGGAAAAATAAATTTAAAAAGCTCAAAAAAAAAAAGATTTATCATTGATACTGTTTTCCATGAATTCTAACTTTGATAAGTGTAAGAAATTGTTCCATTAAATTTTTTCTTCAATTATTTTTTTAAACAATAGTCTCTTGCTTGACTACGATGTTTCGACATTGGGGAGGGTAAGGCAAAACCGACCAGGGGGGCAAAACGGACCACTGACAGAAAATTGATAATTTTAGTTTTTGCTTCCGAATGTAGCAAATTCGAAGTCATTTGTGGTTTGAGGTGATTAGCAAAACTGATCAAATTGCGGTCCAACGACACTTGTTGTCTATAAAACCCCTGTGACGGTTATGATCCAAGAAACTCACCTTTAATTCAACACATTCAGTTTTCCTGATTTGAAGGAAAGGAAAAAAAACAAAAATTACCAATTTTCTGTCAGTGGTCCGTTTTACCCTGCCGGTCCGTTTTGCCGTACCCTCCCCTAACACACGTTTTCGAGCACGCAAAAATATAAATTATTTCTTGCGAAAATTTTACACTGATGATAATTTAGTAACACGCTTTTTAATCCGCGACACAATGCCCAAAAGAAAAAAAAACAAAGACAATTTTCTCAGCAATAATTGTATTATCGCCATCTGATCTGCCGACAATTTATCCTTGGTACATTATATTCGTCGATAAATTATCCGATGATTCATGGGTTTACCTTGTCGGATCGTAAACAGTGTCTAACGAGGCTTTCCGATGACCCCCTCTCTTTTCGATTCGAATCAAACTCACTATGGGACAATGTATCCCCATTCGCCCACGTATTATCACCGGTAGCCGCATTATCTCACACGAAATTGTCTTTCCTCAGCGTTGAGACCCGTGATTTATTACTTCAGTACCAGTGCTTGTGGGTTCATCATACCCTTGAAATTTATTATATCCGAGAAGGGAATAGCAGGGTTGGGCATCTCTCGATAATGGCTGTTTTTTACATGACATTGTAAAAAGCCCGTAATTTACGTAATAAATGTAAAAAATGTAAAAAAACTAGCCGACGTTATTTTTTATCGTAAACGGTGAAGCTTCGCCAAGATCGTACCTCGCGAGGGTGTTAAAAGTCACGAGGTTCATACCTCATCAGGATCATACGCTTCGAGGGTCATACCGTGTAAGGGATGCCTTTTACAAGGGTCAACCTCATTATTTATTAATCTCTATTGAATTCGTCGCGTCATCATCTTTTGCCTTCACATTAACCTGTTTCATTCAGCATTCTTAAATGATAAAACTATTTAACTGCTTTGGTAACTTTTTTGAACTCTTCAGAACAAAATGGTTTTTTCAGGGACAACTGAACTTTTCCAGGGCTCCAAATAATAAAGAGGAAAATCCAATAAAGCTCAACAGATAATGAGATTGACGTTCTCACAATGGAGATGATTTGTAACTTGATCTTTTGCAATGTTTGACCCCCGTGAAATTTAATCTTTATGAGGTATGGGGCTCATTTTTTTGAGTTTCTTAAAATGCCGTAAATCGTACCACGTGATGTAATAGTAGATTATGTCATCTGGCGATAAAAGTATTATCTGGCGAATAATATATGTATATCTCGCCTTCGGCTTGGATTATAATTACATTCGTCAGATGAAATTTTCTTCGCCGTGTGACCTACAATATTTTATGTCTCTGTGCCCGGAAACCGCGATTTCACCGAGGGAATCGATTTTAGAATCGTGGTTTTATGGACCTGGGGACATAAAATAGTTTGTTATGCCTCAAGTATCGAGAACCTCATTCTAACCGAACAAAGTGAAGTTACAATTCGCGGTTTATCGCGGATATTTAAGCGTCCAATACTGCGTCATCGACAGTCGGAATAACATAAAATATTCTAGTAACTGAAAAATGCAAGCTTTTCGAAGTATTGTAAAAAATGTAAAAAACCCCTTTGAGGTAATTTACGTAAATTACTTCGGTAAAAAACGGTGTAATTTACCAACGTAATTTACCCGCCCAACCCTGCCCACATGTATAAATTTTTCGAATTTTTTTTGTTCACAAGGGAAGGGGGAGTATAAACCGAACGTGTGGTCCAATTAAGGTGAAACCGAAAAATCACATTTGATAAGGCAGAATGCTTTGCGTGCAATGTTTTTCACTTTTTAATATGATTCTTCAGTGAAAAAAACTCTCTGTTTACCTTTCTAATCAATAACAACGCTAAATGTATCTTTTATTACCTTGTTACTAATAACGTTGATAACAAGGTAATAAAAGAAACATTTGTTGATACTAATGTTGTTGATCATGGTAATTACATCAATTTTCATTAATCATAGAACAATTCACATCAAATCCGAATTCAATGCGATTCACTGAGCAATGAATTTTTGAAAATTTTGACTTTTTTCAAATAAATTTTCATCGCTATCCATAACATGAGATAACTTGATTTGATGGTTGAGAATCGAAGTTCTGTCTTCACCCATTGATAGACATTCTAAAAAGTTTGAAAATGAGATAAATTGACCCTAGTCTGGTCAACAAACGCGTCCCTGCGACTTGGTCACCTCTGCGGGGATTCGCCGTCGTGTTATTTAGGCTTGAGCGTTGCCGAATCCACTAAATAATACGCAATATTTTGATATTTCAATTGATGATAGTAGTATGGCATGACAAAATAGAAAAACAGAATGGTGAAATAAAAATTTCAACAAGTGAACCCATTCGGAAGCTAATTACTAATTTATTAACAACAATCACTATACTCATTTATAAAAAATGCCATTGTCCACTTTCATTTATATAAAAAATGTCGACCTGAAAAGTGCTCGGATAAAAAATCAAAATTGTTGATTGAATTCTAATACCAAGGAGCGTAGGATACAATTAATAATGCCACACAACACATCGCAATATACTATAAAGAAAAGTTTTATTCGTAATAAAAAAGTTTATTGCAATAATCTATAAATTGTTGCTTTAATAAGTACGAAGTTAATGGCTATTATATAGATCCAAAGTCGTTTGAATTTCTCGATGAACAAAAATATAAAAAAACCTCATTCGTAACTGGTCATGCAAAAAGAATCCCGTTTGAAGGAATCTCTTATGATAGCGAAAGACAATAATATTATGTATGTATAACTAACAATCAATTCATCAAAAATTCATTACTTATACATAAACTTAATAATTACTAGAACGGGGTTCTTGCAATAACTAGAAACGCAAAATCGGGATATCGAAGGAAATACGAACACTAAGGTATTATAAATAACCATTCTTCCCCAGCAGAGCGAAACGACGATTGAACATCATAAAGACTAAAAATCATTACCGACTATCTTACAACGATTTTTGGACGGATTATGTCTGACTTTACCCTAAGAATGCCAGTCTAAATGATAATTATAATAATTGGAAGTGTCCGTCCATCGAGGAACATCTCATTTCATGTAAAACTCATGCAAAATACGTCAATTAGCAAATAAACATTTCATACAATTCATAAATTCTCCTTAATCAACTAGATCATTTATACTCGCTAACTCTTCCACGAGTTTCCTATATCACAATTCACAAAAACTTTCACTTATAATATTCCCTCGTGTACGAAAGCTTGGTAGTGCTCTCTCTCATAATTCCTCAAAAATTCATAATCTCAAATGAACAAAAAAAAAAACAGGGAGAAATTAATCACACAATTGCCCCAAGCATGCACAAAAATAATCAACAGTTCATTGAAAACTAATCAATAGAGAATCAATACGATAATGATGTTATCCTTATGTACACGCGACAGATAAGAGCAGGATTGTGGCAACATCCTCTCAAAACGTTTCTCCTAAATTACAGTAAATCATAAATTACTCCCATAATTTCAATAAAATTTCATTTGTACTTTCGTCATAGTAAACCCCCAAACTACATGGCCGTCTCCAACGGCTGGCTCTTGCTCCGTGCATCGGCTGACAACTGCGTCAACTCCGTCGGTTCATTGGGAAGAAAAACATCGAAATTTGTTTCTAACAGTGCTTCGCTTTTCGATCGAAGTGGCTTCTCCTCGCCAGTGTCGAGATTTGTTTCTAATAAAGTTCCACTTCGTGGTCGCTCTTCGTAGTAATATGGTTGTGGTGGCAGTGGTGGAATGAAGTATTCGGGAACAGGCTCTGATCCTGGTGTTGCTGGTGCTCCGTCGTATGAGTATTCCACTGGGGAATAGGGTGCTGGCTCGATGTCACGTTTCAATTCTGTGATTGAATCAGTCATCGCTAGGGATGCGTTCAGGGGAAGGGTTGATGCATTGTACGTAGATTCGTCGATTGGATCGGTTGGCGAATCGCCCGGGTTTACTTCGCTGTTGGCCACTGACGGCCAATTACTGTTATTTCGAGAGGTGAAGGTCGAGTGATTGCGGAAACCCTCGTTGCGGTAGGCGAGGTCGAAAACGGCGGTCTCTGCGTGGGGTACTGCGTATTTTTGCGCCCCTTTGAAGTCACTGGTGCTTGGGGAGTATCGGGGGTTATGAGCTTCGTAGACGTCGTAGGACTGGTTGTCTTCCATGGAGGAGTTCAGCTGGGATTTGTCCATTGAATCTATGCTACCACCGTTCATCATTTTTTTGTAGTCGAGCGAGCGAGATGTCAAGGTGTCGGTTGATTTTGACTGTTGGAAAGAAAAAATGGGTTATTTTGGGAGAGCTAGAGGGCAGAGAAATGGCTCGTAACATTCAATTCGAGTGATGCTTGCTTGGTAAATGTCGATTCGAAAATCGTGTAAAGGGCTGTGACATTCTCAAAAATTGGCAAAAAGGAATAGGATTTTAATTCTTAACAGGAATTCAATGGACTTGCTTGGCAAAACTATTCATAAAAGAAACTGGTCCTCAGATTGAGTTGATTTTCTTTCCATACTACATAATTGAATTGAATTTTTTTTTCGGACATAGAATTCTATGTTAAACATCCGATATTTTCCGAATTGAAAAAAAATTACATTCCCAAATAATATTACATGGAGATTTCTACAAGTAGGTGATAAATAAACTCTAAACGATTCTCTTTTCTCTAGATCAGATTGAATTAAAAAAATTATTCGTGGAGGGTAATTCACTAATTATTGTTGACTCGGAAAAATGAGGATTGCAAATGGTGCCCGAACAAAATAACAATTAATACATCATAAATAACAAAACTGAAAGCATATCCAGCAGAAATGCTCATATTTCCTCTAACCTTTGGAGGTGGAACAAGTACCACTCTTTTCTCCTGCATTTGCTGCTTGTGGAAAAATTACTGCGTGATTAACTCTTCGAAAATACTTCATCGATATAGATTATTTAGAAAAGAATTCGCAGCTATTGAATTTCATAAATTTAATAGCTGTTAATAAAATCCGTGCGAACTACTTCATCATCTCGAAAATCAGGGACGTTTTTACAAGAAAGCACTGATTAATTTGTTCGCAGTGGATAAAAGTCTCTACGGGAAAAGTATTTCTACATTTTTCTTCTAAAATGAATGGAATTGGATTACTGCTTTTTAAGAGACCTTAATTAATGAGGCGAGTCAACTCATTGTCTACTAATTGTTTTGCTTATGAAATTCTCTTGAAAATAAGTGATTTTAGTAGAAAATACTAAGACTTATTCTGAATAAACTCCCTAAAAATGCTTCTCAACACTGCCTCTATAATCAAGGGTTTTTGAGATAATTTCAGAATTACTAAAATGAATATAAATTCACGATAATGTTGTTTTCAATGTAAACCTTCGTTGATTATAAAAAAATCATTACAAATTTTTGAATTTCCGGAAATTTGATTTTTTTAGGCATGAAATCGATTTCTGGTAAAATTCTGGATATGAATAAATTTTCTACGATTCCGAACAAGTGATTTTTATAACGGAAAATTGATTGTTTATAAATTATTTACAGAAAGTGCTCTTAATTTTTTTAATGGCTATTTTTCAATTATTTCATCAACACTGTTAAAAATTTACGTCTGAATTTTCCGTGCCAAATTCTGGAAATTTTTATTGTGATCAAGTTCCACTGAAATGTCAGGAAATCTTGTCATTGCAAAATCAAATATTCCATTGATCTCCTGTTCAAATGATCTGGAAATCAATAAAATACTTCATTTTTCAGTTCAATTATTTTGTGAAAATTCAGAAAAATCAGGGAACAATTAAAAATTTATGTCATTTTGTTTCTGAATGTTCCACTCAAAATTTAATCAAGTTGTGAATTTTTCGTCTCATACCACTGAAAACTTATGAATTTTCGTGAATTCTACTTAAAACTTGAAATTTCATTATAATTTTTTCCCTAAATTCGATTCAATGTCACTCTCATGAGATTTACTCTATCTTCCAATGAAATTTCAAAAAATTTCTAACAGTGAATATTCCTCCAAAAGTAGAATTTGAAATGTTTTTTAGATTTTTAAAACGTTTTCTAACTATTCAATAGCGAGATTCAAATTCAGACCAGCAAAGTTTAAATAATAAAATCATTGTAAAATGTTCGGAAACAGGGGCAAATGAAAGCTTAAACTACAAAAGTAGAAAAGCATTTCACTGCAGAAGTTTAGAGCCACAGAGGTGTCTTTTTTTTTCAAAATTTTTGAAAAAATCGGTGTAGTAATAATTACGAATTAGTTTTTTGAAATTCGACTCCTACACAGCTAATTCCGTTTTGTTTAAAATAAAAATTTGCGCCATTTGTGTAAAATAGGCAGAAAAGTTATCCTTAAAATATTTAAAATATATTCTCGATTCTTTCAGAAACATTTTTCAGGCCGATTTACATGAATGGTGCAATTTTTCATTTAAAAAATTACGAAATTAGCTGTGTAGGAGTTGAATTTTTAAAAACTAATCCGTAATTGTTATTGTACACATTTTTTCAAACATTTTGAAGAAAAAGAAAGCTCTGTAGCTCAAAAATTAGAGGCCCTCGACTATTTTTAACATTTTAAGCCTCTGCGGGGCAACCAATAAACAATTAATTTTTTTGCACTAATTATTCATTTTTGGGTGTATATAATCGATCTTTAATGTATGAAAAATCGCATTCCAATAGCCCGTGAATTTTAAAACTCACAGTAGTCTCCCCTTAAAACAATAAAAAAATAAAACTTACAGGAACAGGTTTACGCCTGTAAGCCAGCTCAGTGAATCCCGAAGTGGATCCCACCGATTTCAACGAATGAAGTGACTGCCTGATGGAGTTACGTCGCTCAAGTCTCTCAATTTTTCGTCTCTTGGACTTTGAAATCCAAAATCCAATTGCAGCCGCCAAAAGAGCGAGAGCCGCTCCAATTGCGCCCAAAACACCCACAGCGACGATGTCTCGTCTCCACGACAATGGATCGATGTAAACTCTGGGGTCAATTTCGCAAATGAAGGGGCTCGGCTGACTGCAATGGTCAATTTCAATGGTTTGGTACGTGAATGTTGTGCACTGGTCGATGCGCTCCAACTGCTGCACCCAGACACGCTCTGAATACTCGAAGCGTTCCTGCTGTTTTCTCAGAAATCTCCAGAGCTGAAGGTAATCGCCCATGATGAAGGGCATGGAGGCATTCGCCTGCCTGCAAAATTCTCGAGCGCTGAAGAAGTCCATTGGGGCGCCGATGTAGATGTAGCAGGTGTCACCGACCAAGTCCCAGGCTGGGGGGCACTTTCCACTCAAGACAGATTCATTGTTCATGTGGAAGGGCGTGTAATCGACCTGGAGGAGCTCTGGTGAATCACTACGATCACGAATCCTTCCTGCAACTGCTGTTGTCTCGTTGTAGCCCCACCAGTTGTGTTTTGCATCCACGTGAGATCTCCAGACTTCCAGTTGGCTGAATTGGAAATTTAATAGTCAGTTTTTTATTTCGCGGTAAGGAAGGGAGTAAGGAGTAAAATGGATCGTCAATGTTGTAGGGGATAATGTATTAGGGACATTCCACACTATTTCAACGAGGGCAAAAAAAATTTTTTTTTAAGGCCCGGGAGTACTATCTTTCGAATGTTATCTGGATTTTTTTATCTTTCGTAATCCAAAATTGTCAATTCAATGGTACATCATGTAGAAATTCCCAAAAATTATCATAGAATGATAAAAAATAAAATAAAAAAAATTCTGAACTTTTTCAAAGAGCGTTTTTAATTGAGATTCAGAATGAGTTGAAAAAAGTGGAAATTACAAATATCTGATTCGCTGTGGCAAATTATTTATTAGCTGTCATTTTCCATGATGGATAACAAAACACTAACTCCTCATGGGAAGTGACAGCTAGGTATCTCAATTTTCAAAACAGTGGTATGTAGTCATCTGGCATTTTTATGTGATAAAAGTGTGATTAAAAAATTCTCCAAAATATTGCAACTTTTTTCAAAGAGTCTTTTCCGTAATAAATGTCTCTGTGCAGTGTGGGAAAAGATTTAAGAAATCAGTCTTCCCCGTGCAGGATATTGGGTGATAGGCCGCCATTTGTTACGGTAAATCAAATACATTCTTCAATTTCTTGTTATTCAACTTATTCTGAATATAAATTAAAAATCCTCTTTGAAAAAATTAAGAATTTTTTCTACTTTTTTAAAATTATTTATTCATAATTTTTCAAAACTTCTGCATGATGCAGGACTTAATTGACAATTTCAAATGACGAAAGATGAAAAAAACATAAAGATAACGTTCGAAAGATAATACACCCGGGCCTTAAATTGCATATATCACAGAAAGAGGGCCAGAAATATTATCAACAGCCCATTTTTTTTTGTTAAAGTTATAACAATTGTAAAATTCCAGTGAATAACGAATAGACATACCTTTGACTATTGATATCTTGAAAGTTGTGCGTTTAATTCAAAAATTTCAGAAGGGCTTTATTGTTGAGAAAGAATGGTCAGTTACGTAAAAAAAAATTGATCGGAAAAAGGAAATATTATTTGCATTTTTTAAAATAAACAATTAGGAAAATCGTTGTAGTTTCGTGAGGTCCACTCTGAAAAATATAAAAAATATATGTCATGTGGGAAATACTAAGAACGCTATATCAAATTTTCGTTTAATGACATTAACTGGCTCGTAAAATATTAATTTTTTAATGATCAAAATCATGTGACGTCTCCGCCGCTCAGTGCATTGCCCATTCTGAGCGCTCCATTCTCTTCCAACGTCTATTTTCTTCAAAAAAAAACAAGACTTTTCATGATTATTCATTTTTTTACAACGACAAAAAACACACTTTACCATGAAATAAGTGTTGAGTGAGCTATACGGTTGTTCAAAGTTTTAGCGGATTGAGAGCGCTTGAATTGGGTAGCGCACTGAAGAGCGGAGACAGCGCGCGACGTCATAAAAAAATTAATATCTCAACCATCAGTGAATGTTAGTAAACAAAATTTTGACACAGCTTTCTCAACAATATTTCCCACAACATATATTTTTTTCAATTTTTTTAGGGTTGAACTCACATAGCCAAAACGGTTTTTCTAATTGTTTATTTAAAAAAACGCAATAATATTTACTTTTTCCAAGCGATGTTTTTTTAATAACTGACCATTCTTTCTGACCAATAAAGCCTTTTTAAGTTTTCCACATAAAATTCGTAATTGAGATATAAATGTTCAAAAGTTTCCGGATTCCTTACTCAACTAAATTCGCAGTTGAACTAGCATGGAACGCCCCATTAGAATAGTGACAGTTTCTTTGAAAATCCCTCGTTGTTGGAATGAAGTGTCAAAAACAGAATTTAAGAACCGAGCTCTTTTGCTAGGCGAATTTAATGCAAATCTGCACATCTGTTGATGTACAAAATTCGATGGAGTTGAATTTTTTTTTATTTTTTTGTTCACTGAATTTTTTTCCTCATTGTAAGATGGAAGAAAAAAAATCCTACAATTCATGCGTAGCAATTCTTATGGAAAAAATCCTAACAGAAAAAATTGTACGGCAAAATAAAAATCTAAATTCTGATTGTTTTGAACGTCGCAAAACGAATTAGATAATTTTTAGTGAAAATCGGTCAAAAAAATTGAACGTCAACAGAATTTTAATGTAAAACAATATCATTCTGTAGCAAACACACTAGATTGTTTTTTCAATTTTTTCATACGTTTAAATTCCTCAAAAAGTCATTCTTGAAGCCATAGAACTCAATTCTCCACATCTTGCAAAAAGCAGGAACTAGTGGGAAATACATTGGGAGAGTACTTGGTTTCAAATTTTCTCAGATAGAAAATAGTCTCTTGACATTTTCTCCTAAAACCACTTTTTATCGATATAAATCTCCAATTGCTAAAGATTTAATACTCCAAGTGAAACAAAAATTGCATGACATTATCAACATCTTTTTTTTGTTGTAAATTTTTCAATCTCCAAAAAAGATATTTTCATATTTTTCCTAGTAAAATCACTTGGTTCTTGGATAACCGTACACTTGGTGAAAATTTCGAACTTCATTGGGGAATTTATTCTGAATAGAAGTATATCAGTAGCGGAGTGGTAAAACGGTATAAGTCAATTTTGACTATTGACCAAGTTTTAATAAATATCTTGGAATCTAAGGGAGATAGCAAAATTTTTAGTATAACCTTTTTTGCAGAGCCGATTGAGAGCTACAACAAATATAGTTACGAAAATTTCGCTATCTTCGTTAAATTCGAAAATATTCCTCAAAAGCTCAATTGGGAGATAAGTCGACTTAAACCGGTTTACCACTTCGCTACTGATATGAATTTATTACATGAATTTGTTCTGAAAATAAATAAAAATCCATAAATCCACTTTTATTGTAAAATACACAAAATATGGGTTAACACAAGCTAAACTTTTGGTAATTCGACTCAGTGATGGTCCATTTTGTTCCATTCTCCCCTATCACAAAGCGAAAAATAGGGAACTTGCATGGATTTCAGTCTTCCCTAATTTCCCTATTTAGCCATTCTATACAACCCATAGATAGCTAAGCGAAAAGATTGTCATCTCGATTGTTTTTCCATCTCCATAATCTAAAATTTATCTCAATTTTCATTGTATTGAACATCACGGAGGAGTCCCTAAAAATTATGATTGTACAATACAAAAAAATAGAAAAGAAACTGAACATTTTCAAATGATGTTTTAATAAAGATTTGGAAATAAGTCCGATAGAGAGGAAATTGTGAATGGATAATTCATCATGGTTCTGTGACAAATGACGACCTAAGAGCCATTAGATACAGTAAATTATTAATTTGCAATTTTTTCCCCATTGGATTTATTTTCCAATATTATTTAAAAACTCTCTTTAAAAATGTTCATTTTTTTTCAAAGTTGTTTGAGGGTACAATCATAATCTTTGGAGACTCCAGGATTATGTGAAACTGAATGGCAATTGGAGAATATTTAAGATTATTAGAATAAAAAATCATGAAAGAAGTCGAAACTTGAAATTTTTTAAAAATTCCTGCAAGTTCCCTACTGCCAACTAAAATTCTACTACAAAGAACGCAGTTTACGCAGAATGAGGACTAAGCGGACTACGTAGCCAGAATAATGAAAACATTACAGATATTCCAAGGCTACTTACTTAAGGTACCAATCCGTGCCGACAACTCTGGTTTATAAAATCATGCACATGCGATTTTCAGAGTATGAAATAAGAAAAACCAAATGAATAAAGAGTAATCTAAATATTGGATAAAGTTTGGAATAGGTTTTGCATACGTACATCGAGCGATTTATTGTCAGAATTTCGTAGTCGTTGTCGGGGTTGAAGAATACGTTGTCCACGTATTGTTGGCCAGGGGTACCAGCTACAATCGTGCTTCTTCCTTCTCGATCAATTGCATAATTTCTAGATAATAAACAAAACATTATTGGGATATTTTCTAAAGAAGTATACAGAATTAATTCGAAATGGAAGATTAATAAAAAAAATTTGAATGAACAAATTTTACAGACAAACCTAACGCATTCGGTAGAAAATTCCATCGCATTTCTATAGAACTCTTATTGAAATCTATTAGTTTTCCGCCGATTCTACTGAAAAAATCAGCAGATTTTCGATGCTTTTTTATCATGAAAATGTTTGATAGAGAATATTTTATGAAAGAAATCAATGAAATTCGATTTTTATGTATAGCTTATTCCATCGAAATATTTTCTATAGAAATTTCTCTATTTAATTTTTCTAATTTCTTTTCTTTTATTTTGTTCAATGAAGAGAAGAAAAATGTAGTCAAAAAAGTTGGAAAAATCATGTCGAGGAATTTTCGTAGAAAATCTCAAATGTATTCGAAATGGAAGATTAATAAAAAAAATTTGTATGAGCAAATTTTACAGACAAACCTAACGCATTCGGTAGAAAATTCCATCGCATTTTTATACAACTCTTATTGGAATCTATTAGTTTTCCGCCGATTCTACTGAAAAAATCAGCAGATTTTCAACGATTTTTTATCGTGAAAATGTTTGATAGAGAATATTTTATGAAAGAAATCAATCAAATTCGATTTTTGTATACAACTTATTCCATGGAAACATTTTCTATAGAAATTCCTCTATTTAATTTTTCTAATTTCTTTTCTTTTATTTTGTTCAATGAAGAGAAGAAAAATGTAGTGAAAAAACTTAGGAAAATCATGTCCAGGGATTTTCGTAGAAAATATCAAATGGATTAGAAATGGAAGATTAATAAAAAAAAATTGCATGAACAAATTTTACAGACAAACCTAACGCATTCGATTTCTACAGAACTCCTATTGAAACCTATTACTTTTTCACCGATTCTACTCAAAAACTCAGCAGATTTTCTATGCTTTTTTTATTATGGAAATGTTTGATAGAAAATAATCTATGAAAGAAATCAACAAAATTTGATTTTGTGTATACATAGCTTATTCCACCAAGATATTTTCTATAGAAATTCCTCTATTTTAATTTTTCTATTTCTTTTCGTTTATTTTTTCAATGGAAGAAAGAAAAATAGAGCGAAAAAATTTAGAAAAAACATGTCGAGGAATTTCCATAAAAAATATCTGAATAGAAAAAATTTTAGATCAAATTCGATTGACATTCTCGAAAGAGGTATTCAGAATGAATTCGAAATGAAAGCTTGATAAAAAAAGTTGAATGAAAAAATTTTACAGAAAAGCTTAACGCCTTTGGTAAAAAATTCTATCGGATTTCTATGAAACTCATATTTAAATCTATCAATTTTCCGCCGATTCTACTGAAAAAATCAGCAGATTTTCTAAGGTTTTTAATCATGAAAATGTTTGATAGAGAATATTTTATGAAAGAAATCAATAAAATCTCTTAGAAATAGGATGTTAATTTCTATTAATGATGGCCGGGGTCGGGTGGTGTTTGAAATTATTAAACTCGCGTTGTTTTTTCTGTTTGAATTTAATATAATGTGATTATATTTACACTATTTACAATAGTTGAGTTTCCGTTATTTTGTTGAGCTTCGATTATTTAGTGGACTGTATATTTATTTCAGATGATAACGTTTGATAATAGTTGTTGATTTCCGTGCTAACTTTCTGCGTGATTTTGATGATAACGAACGACGTGGGTTCAGTTACGAGTACGGTTTATTACTGACTTTTCAGATTTGATAGCGTTCGCCAGTCGGCCCCTCGGTCAAGTTCGGAATTCCGGAATTTTCACGATCTTGAATGACCGACCATATTTGTTAGTTTTGGCTAATTCGAATCGATTCTTATAGAAATGTGGGTCGGATTTCTAACAAAATCTTATTTGTGTGTACAACTCATTCCATCGACATATTTTCTATAGAAATTCCTCTATTTAAATGTTCCAATTTCTTTTCGTTTATTTTTTCAATGAAAGAATGAAAAATAGAGCGAAAAAATTTGGAGAAATCATGTCTAGGAATTTTCATAGAAAATATATAAATGAAAAAAATTTTAGCTCAAATTTTATTGACCTTTTCAAAAGAAGTATTCAGAATGAATTAAAAGTCGACAATTAATAAAAAAAAAATTTATGAAAAAATTTTACGAAAAAAATTAATTTATTCGGCAGAAAATTCGATTGGTTTCCTATAGAACTCTATTGAAAACTGCTAACTATTTGCCGATGCTACAGAAAACAGCAGTTTTTCAACGCTTTTTTATCAAGGAAATTTTTAATAGAGAATATTTTATGAAAGAAAACAGTCAAATTTAATTTTTGTGTATAAGTTATTCCATCGAGATATTTCCTATAGAAATTTCGCTATTTGAAAGTAGAGTGAAAAAACTTGGAAAAATCATATCGAGGACTTTTTATAGAAAATATTTCAATAAAAAAAGTTTTAGATCAAATTCTATTGACTGTTCCTAAAAAACAGTATCTGCTGAGAATTTTCTATCGAAAAAAGCTCGTAGAAAGACTGCGGAATGTTCGAATAGAATTTCCAATGGAAATCCAATAGGATAGGATCTATAGGTCTCTATAACTAGCTCCTTCTATTCAATTTTGTCATGCACAACAATTCCCCAGTGAAGTGCACAATAAAAATCTTCATCAAAACGTTCCCCACCCTCTCAAAATAAAAACTTCATCCTCAAAAAATTCAGTCCTAAACAATTTTTCTCATTTCCCCACCGATACAAACTCCCAAAAATGCCCTTAAGGGGAGACTAGTATGAGTTTTAAAAGTCATGGGTTATTGGAGTGAGACTTTCCATACATTGAAGGATGATTATATCGACCTGAAAACGAATAATTAGTGCAAAAAAAAATTTGTTTTATTGTTCGTTTGTCCGAAAACGCTAAAAATGCCAAAAACAGTCCAGTGCCTCCAATTTTTGAGCTACGAAGGATTTTTTTTTCAAAATTTTCGGAAAAATATGTGGAATAACAATTATGAGCTAGTTTTTTAATAGTTTTTAATTCGCTTCCTACATGGCTAAATTTCCTTTTTCGTATTTTTTTACACAAATAGTGAATTTTTTTATATGAAAAAAACTGAAATCAGCTGTGTAGGAGTCGAATTCAAAAAACTTGCTCGTAATTGTTAGTCCACATATTTTTCCGAAAATTTTGAAAAAACAAATCTTTTGTACCTCAAAAATTAAAGTCCCTGGACTGTTTTTAGCATTTCTAGCGTTTTCGGGCAAACGAACAATAAAAAAATTTTTTTTTTGCACTAATTATTCGTTTTCAGATCTATATAATCGATCTTCAATGTATGAAAAGTCTCACTCGAATAAACCACGACTTTTAAAACTTATAGTAGTCTCCCCTTAAAAAAAAGTAAATGAATAAAACCAAACTATGAACAAAAACTCACTTATAAAATCCATTATGCGAAGTGCTCTGATAAATGGGGAGCCTGACCCTCTCGAATCCACAGATCTCCAGCAAATGAAGTCCCAAATTGGCGTGCAAATAATTAAGCGTCATATTGCTGACCACCTGCCTCAAAATGATATTGCTGTCATAAGGAGCATCATTCTTCATGAAGTAATTCCTGAAGATGGTGACCTCCTGATAAGGGCTGCTCTGCTTCCCCTCGACAAACAGCGCAGCTTTATTCCAGTTCTCAGCGAACAAGTTATTATGAATCCAACCCTTCAACGACGTAGCCGATCCCGTGGAGTCTGCACGAATGGAGAGACCCCCCTGATTCCTCCTGACAAGATTATTCCTGAAGAACAGGGACTGAGTGTTCTGCACGTCCAACACAACAGCTGATTTGCACGTCGAGAAATTACCGTAGAGCTTCTGACAATTATCAATGAACTGATTTTTCTCAAGTGTCATGATTGCATTCACCTCACCAGCACTCGAATATTTAACAGCTCCCTCTTGACAACGTGAAATTATTGAATACGATATATTATGCTGAACATCACGATTAAATCCAATGGCTGATATTGGAAGAGTCACAACTTCAGCGATGAATCCATGAATGCCACTGGCTCCATTAGCAAACAATCTGACACTGAGACTGGGTCCCTCAGTTCTGAACAACTTCTTCTCGTCCTTGCTATTGAACTCCAGCTCACCAATGGTCTTAGCACTCACATTATAAATATCCCCATCGTACAAAGTGATGCCATCGTGTCGCCCAGGATTTTTAGTCGAATTAAAAAGATTGAACTGCAACAGTCTGAAGCCAAAGGGTTTTGCCCTGTACGTGCTTCTGAATATCTTGATACAATTGACAGGATTGTTGTCGTATTTGTAGTAAATGAGGACTCGCTCCTCGATGGTGACCTCCTTGGTCGTGTCGCAGATGTCGACCAAGCTGAACAAATGATAGGGAATATTGAGGTCTTTCAGGGGAGTAAACGAGCTCTCGTTAGCTTCTCGACCTTCGCCAGTTAATGATAGCACATTAACTCCGTTACCCAGGGCGTTGTTGATTATGTTGAAGAGTAGTTCGACTGTGTGAGTAGGGGAGATCAGGTTGATCCCGTGGTAGGCGGACTTCAGGATTTCCACGTGGGACACAACTGGGCTCTTCATGACTGATTGAATAGCCGGGGATTTCTCGTTGTGAAGAATTCCAGCGCCACTTATGTTGACGTATCTCAGGACTGACTCGACCCTTCGGAAGGTCTCGTGGGTCAGGACGTCGTGGATTCTGTGTTCGTAGAGGTGATGCTCAAACTCGCTGTTGGCTATTCTGATGCCTCCCCAGTAGTCCTTGGTGACTTCTAGATTTCTCTTGCCACAGTTTACGAAGACGTAGTCACCGTCCCAGGGGCAGTCGTACTTGTGACCGTAGAGTTGACCGTTTAAGCGGATTTGACAGTCCTCGAGACGCTCCTCGTGGCCAGAACATTGAATGGGCTCCGGCCATGACCAAATTCTTGCTAAGGAACCTGGGTGCAGCTCGTAACGACGACTGTGGGACACGTAGATGTTCAGCGGGTCGTAGCCTAGCTGACGACAGGCGACCTGAGCATTTCGCTCCGTGAAACGACGGTCGCAGAGGGGGATCCATTGGAGTGTTGTGCGATTGAAGAACTCGATGAAACCCTCGTTGTTGGACGAGGAACATTTACCTGGAGATAAAAGATAATGTGGATTTGAATTGTGATTAGGATTGGGTGGAATTGAAATTATAGGCATGTCGTGAGGGATACACTGAGAAAAAAACGAACAAGTTCTTAAACAAGTCTTATTTGGGCCAACAAAATTGTTAGTTGAAAAATACCAAAAAAATTATTGTTTGGTTCGAATTTGAAAGTTTCAAACGTGTACACTCGTTTACTAAAGTTCTGAAATAAAATACACAGGATGCCAGTTCAGATTGTTTCAGAACTTTAGTAAATGATTGTATAATTGCTCTACATTCATACAAGACGGTGCCTTGTCAGGACAAAAATATCTTTTATAGAGGGAAGTTTATCAAACAATATTTTGTCCCTAAGTTACAAGATTGCTGTCATATCCTCATTATTATTTCATTTAACAACGAAAAAGTAGTGCTAGAAATTACATTTTTTACTTGCGCAGAGATTAAATTTTTTTTTGAAAAGATTAAGTCTTAGGAAAAAGTGGAAATAGACGTTAATGTCAGACATTACAGAACTGAACTATTACTGAAACTAAATTGAATTCCATTGAAATGATGGTCTTATCATCAGAAAGTTGTTTTAAATATTGAGTGAATTCTATCCAACAAGTGTATTCGTGTTTTTCTGATTTACACAAGAAAAGTGGAAATGGACGTTCATGTCAGACAATATATAGTTGATTCATGATGAGAATTGAATTCAATTGCAATTCTGGTATTTTCACCAGGGATATTGATGGCATTCTATAATTCTTTCGATTGTTACAATGTTTGTAGGAAACAGTGGAAATAGACGTTAATGTCAGACATCACAGAACTGAACTATTATTGAAACTAAATTGAATTCCATTGTAATGATGGTCTTACCATCAGGAAATTGTTTAAAATATTGACTGAATTCTATTCAACAAGTGTATTCGTGTTTTCACGATTTATACAAGAAAAGTGGAAAACAACGTTCATGTCAGACAATTCTGGTGTTTTCACCAAGGATTCTGATGGCATTCTATAATTCTTTCGAGTTTTGCAATTTTTTGTAGGAAAAGTGGAAATGGACGTCAACGTCAGACATCCCAGGATTCAACCATGCTTAGAACGAAATTAATTTCAATTGAAATCCTATGCTTATCATCCAGAAACTGTTTAAAATATTGAGTGAATTTTATTCAACAAGTGTATTCGTGTTTTCACGATTTACACAGAAAAAGTGGAAATGGACGTTCATGTCAGACAAGATATCGCGTTGACTAATGGTTTAAACTGGCTGGAAATTGTAGTCATATCATAAAGAATACTGTTTAAAATAAATAAAGTAAATCCTACACATGATTTATGATTTTATCTCATATCTCAAATAAAATCATTCATTAAAAAAAATCTAAAACAACAAAGAATTTCTTCTGCCTCACCTTCTTTACACAGCTGGATTGTTCCCTCTGGCCCATTGTCCGCGGCCCTCCTGGCAACGGGTTTCGGCAGCAAGCTGTCATCCCGTGCCATTGGGCTCATAACAATCTCATGTCCAGGTGCGCCAACAGCCTTCAAAGTCCCCAACACCAGAATCCCAACATTCGGCGCAAACTCCATCACAACATCCGGATAAATATTAACAGTCACATCGGGCATGATCGTGATATCCGATCTGATGATATAAGGAGTTGGACGATAGTACAACGACAAATTCTCAGTGATTCTCCCTCCAAGATTATCGAGATCAACGGTGGGTCTCAGCTCCCAAGAAGCTGAGATGGACGAGTCAAACGAGTCACCAGTCAAGTAGGGCCTAAAATTGGCCACAGCATGATTATTCCAGTCATCAAAGTCAAAGATTCCCTTCTTGATCAGCCCTTCGTCAGAGGTTCCCCACCAGTTCTCAGTCACATCCACTTCGTTATTAATCTTAGCAGTTCGAATGCCTGCGACCAGCTCGTAATTCATACTGTTGCCACCAAACAAGTTACGATTCACTTGGACCTTCTGAATCCCTTGAAAGCCAACGACATAAGTAGGCTTGTCAAACATCTGATGAATGCCCCTGGCCACAACTCCATTAGAATTCTCTCGGATTTCGTTCAAGTAGAAACGAGCTGGGATCTCCCCAAGGATCTCAGACTGACTGTCAGCCTTGAACTCCACCATGAACGACCCACTGTTCTTCTCAATAACATTATTATCGATTTTCAATCGCTTCTCCATCCCTCGGATCGATATAAGCCCATTCTTACACCGATTCCCAACGTATTTGTTGAAGGAAATATTCAAGCTTGCGTAATGTCCATCAACAATGAATCCAAAATTGTTATTATCCCTCCAGGTGTTGTTGCCAAAATACAAAGAGTGAGTGAAATTCTCGTTGTACTGCCAGACGTATGGCAAAGCCACCTCGAAGCCGCCCCCCTGATTCCTCTCGATCGAGCTGTCCTGCATGATCCAGTGGAACAAATTGTTCGACTGTCTCATGTCCCTACTGTATTGCAAAATGCCCCGGCCATTGTCCGTGATTAATGTGTTATTCGCGTGAATAGCAATTTCTGATATGTTGGAGGTGTAGATGTTCCAGTGAGGGGAGAGAATGTGAATGGCCTCCTCTTGATTGTGGGAGATTTCGCAGTTGATGAGGCGGATTGACTCGTTGGACTTCCTCAGGAAGTGATTACCGAACTCGTCGAGGTAGCGGTTGTAGTAGGACGCTGAGATGCCTCTCCTATTTCCCTTGATCTTCGATCGAGATACTAAAAGGGTGGGCGTTGGTCCAGTGACAATTCTGTTTCTTATGTTTTGGGCTGGAGATGGGAGGGTTGTCACTGCTAGGACAGCACCTCCCAGGGCGTTGGTGCCGCTGTGGTACTCCAGGATCACGTTGAAGGAGCTGGAAGATACTGGGAAGACTGCCAAGTCCCTTTTCAGGTGGTAAACTGTGCTCCAGGGGTTGATTCTCAATGCGTCGTAGATTATTATCTGCTCTGTGCTCCTGTTTTCAATGGGATTCAGCAGTTGAAGACCTATGACGTACCCAGGGGTGCATCTTATCTGGATCAGACGCTTCAGGCTCTCCTCACTTTGACGTTTTGAGGTCACAATGTATTTTATGTCACCGGTGATGAGGTCAATGTTCTGAGAGTTGTCGGGGATCATTATGGGCTCGTAGGGCTTGTCGATTGTCTGGGTCATGGGCTGCATGAACCATCCTGCAAATTCTCTTTGCTGTACTGCAGAGAGTGCAGGATTATGCCTGATTCCAGCGAATCCGTTGTTCTCGATTCTGGAGTTTGCGATTCGGAGGCCTAACTGCTTGAAACTTATTCCGCTACCACGATTGCCGGAGAAGTCACTGTTTTTAACTGTATTTACAGCGTCTGCGGAGTATATGTCGGAGTAGATTATTCCCAGGCCGTCTTGGAGATTGTTTGTTACTTTTATGCCTTCCAGGGAGTGACGGGCGAAGTCTATCTGGAGGGCTGCAATCAGATTTTTGGAATTTATTCATCTATTTGTTTATGAATTCGGTTATTTGTTCTACAATTTTTTCGGTTTTTGGAATTTTTTGGAGGAAAAATTGGAAATAGACGTTAATGTCAGACATTACAGAACTGAATTATTACTGGAACTAAATTGAATTAGAGTGAAATCATGGTCTTTGCATCCGGAAATTGTTTTAAATATTGAGTGAATTCTATTCGACCCGTGTATTCGAATTTATTTATCTATTCATTTATTTATTCTATAATTCTTTCGGTTTTTGCAAGTGTTTGTAGGAAAAAGTGGAAATAGACGTTAATGTCAGACATCACAGAACTATTACTGGACCTAATGGAATTCCATGAAAATAATAGTCTTATCATCAAGGAATTGTTTTAAATATTGAGTGAATTTGATTCAATAAATGTATTCGTATTTTCACGATTTATATATGGAGAAGTGGAGATGGACGTTCACGTCAGACAATACATAAAGTTGATTCATGATAGGAATTACATTCACTTGCAATTTTGGTGTTTTTACCAGGGATATTCATGGCATTCTATAATTCTTTCAGTTTTTGCAATTCTTTGTGGGAAAAAGTAGAAATAGACGTTAATATCAGACATCACAGAACTGAACTATTACTAGAACTAAATTGAATTCTATTGAAATCATGGTCTTATCATCAGGAAATTCTTTCAAATATTCAGCGAATTCTATCCGACAAGTGTATTTGAATTTATTCATCGATTTATTTATTCATTCATTTATTTATTTTTTAATTGAAAAAATTTGAGCAGAGGAACTTTTGAATTGTATACAAAAAATTGACTTCTACTAATTTTTTATGGTAAATGTTTCCCAACGAGCATTTATAATTGATTAATTTTTTACATAATTCAAAAAGCGAAACATTAATACAATTTTCTAACCATTCTCTGGGGATTTTTGGTTTACATGTTGTGAAGTTGCATGAAATTCCAGGACTAATTCGTGAAAAGAAATTTATTAAGTTGAGTTTAATATGAGTTCTCCAGAAAACGTCTCACGTGGTCACCAAAAAATTATCAATGTGATAAAACAGAATAAATCAGCCCTAGATGGAGTTTTCGGTCAACTAAAAGCGCTCAAAAGACAAAAATTTTTAAACAAAATATCTCAATAGCATAAATTGTGACATTATTGGCTTCCGGATGGATGCCGCGTTTGGTTTCGCCTTTTCTTGTTTGACTTTCTTGATGAAAAAAAACGAAAAATAGAATGAAAAAAACTTGGCGAATTTGAGCTGAGGAATTTCTACCGAAAATATCTTAATAAAACAAGTTGTTCAAAAAAATCGAATTCTATAGTTTTTTCTACAGAATGTTTGTTATTAAAAATTGCAATAGAATCGGCCAAAAACGTATAAATAAAGTGATAGAACGGAATAAGTCATCTCTACGCGAAGTTTTCGCTGTTAAACAATAAAAAACATGAACAATTCCCACTCACCTGGTTTAAACGAATTCGTTTTGTAGTCCAACAAGCCAGCCCTCTCGATTGTGATAAACTGTAGATCGCTCCTCTCAGCGAGAGGTCCAAGCCTGAGTCCCGCCCAAGCCGCCTCAGAGCACCGGATCCCTACATCATTATCATGAGTACAAGAGTTCTCAAACTCACTGGCACTCTCCGCCTTGCACCCAGCGATATCAATATCCTCTTCATCGCACCGTACATTACTCAGAATGATATCCTCATTAGTCCCAGCACTGGGTATCTGCGATCTCTCCAGATTCCAGTCATCAGGGTCGAGTGTCAACCCCAGCTGATGGCAGACAAGGGCGGCATCCAAAATATTCCACCCATAATTACAAACAGTCCCCCACTTCTCTCCAATCCTGACCTGTAGTCGTCCCTCGCGACTGGTCCTCCCACCGAGAAGCCTGACAGGCACGCTCTCAGCATCATCAACAATATTACCACCAGTCGCCCCTTCTCCAGGGCTCGTCATGTCCCCCAAGCTCATGCTCTGGTTATCACTATCAACGACAATCTCCTCTTTCAGCGTCATAAGAATGCTGTTAGGCCCCCTCCCTTTTGCGTCTAATTTCCCAGCGACCATCATGCCGACGGCCGGTGGAAACTTGAGGGTCACCCCAGGCTGTAGAATCAGTTTGCCCCCAGGTCGGACATTAATATCCCTCTCGACAATGTATTCCCCAGCTGGAAGCACCTCGAGCCCCTCAACCTCACCCCCAACTCTCTTGCTCTCCTCCTCCAAGAACCTCGGAATGAACTGCGGACGCTCGACAATCGTATTAGCCGCGGGATTACTGTTATGCAGCAGATACGGAAGATACTCGATCTTAGCCAGATTGTACCGATCTTTACGATGGAACAGTCTCTCCAGTATCTTCTGCTCCTCAGTGTGTCCCAGCCAGTTGTACGTGCAGTTAAGAATCTTGCTCTGATCCTCCAAATGCGCCCCAATCTCGTACTTCGAGTGAGGATTCTGCAGAATATTCCTGAAGACGTGAACATTGCTGGACGACACCACTAGGACAGCAGCAACCCTCGACCTGGGGACCAGCCTCGACCCCTGCATGTCGCTGTTATCGAATGGCGCCTTGATGAAGTTCTCCCGCAAGAAGTTACGCGTGAAGACGAGCCTCTGAACATCGCTGTAGGGCGACAGCCCGATGCTGACGACAAAGATCCCACGATTGCTGTAAAACTCGTTGTACTGGAGGAGCAAATCAGCGGGAAGTACGTTGAACTCTTCGTGCAGGGGATTTCTGATGAGAATGCCCCCGAAGCTCTGCTCCCTGAAGTGATTGTACTCAATCCTACCCTCGACGTTCAACGCCGGCGTCATCTTGATCCCCAGTTTTTTATTCTCCACGAACAAATTGTGACCGATCTGCAGTTTAAGCGTTCCCTGGTTGTACCGCCAGTTAGACTCCACTTGAATCGCTGTCTCCGCACTGCTGTTGAAGCAGTTCCCCGTGATGTTGACGTAGGATACACCAGTGGAATTACCGATCAACACCCCGATATCCTTGTTACGAAAGACCTCTGAGTATTCCACGACTGTGGACTGGTTGAAGTGAATGTACTCCGTGGAGACGCTGTCGTTTAGCCAGACTGCGAGTCCGTATCCTTGGTTCGACGATATTGTCGATCGGGAGACGTTGCGGTAGCCCCCGGTCATCGTGATGTTGATGCCAGCCCCGTTGTTGTAGGATATTCGGCTGGACGTGATGTTCACGTCTGCTGCACCGCGCAGCACATGAACACCGGCGATGTGATTGCTGTTGGTGACTGATGTGTCGTGGATGTGGAGGGACGAGCGGATGTTCTCGGCGGCTATTCCTCGGCCGTTATTGTCCGCTATCGAGCTGCTTGTTACGTTGAGATCGTACAGCTTTCGGTAGCCGGAGGACAGCCTTATGAAGGCGACCATCTGCGTTCGCGGTTGCGCGGTGAACTTTATGTACAAGTTTTGACGGGTCGACGTCACACTCTGGGGAAGTGTGTTATTTCGGACACTGACGTGAGCCAGGAGCTTATCGCTCATCGAGATCCCGTCGTAGACTTCGATCGTTGCGCTGTCGTTTCGGTCGGTTCGCATCTGCAGGAACTGCAGCGTCAGCACGTGCCCGGGACGCGTGAACACGTGTTGGGGACATTGTTTTGTGTTCTGGGAGTACTTTGTTTGCTCCATTGAGATCGTTATGGGGAAGGTTTGGCTAGTCGTGGTGGGGAATGTGCAGAGGTCGAAGACGTCTGCTCTGTCCAGTCTGTCGCTGGGACGCTCGTCGTTGTGCACGTATTTTATTCCGTCAGCTGCGTTGTCCAGGACAACGCAGTTGTCGATGTGCGCCAGGCCGGTGGAGCTGTTCATGTAGATGCCGTAGCCCTGGTTGTTGCGGACTGTGCAGTTGGTGAGGACTATTGGGGCGTCGGGGGTCGTTACGTTGAGACCCGTGTACGAGGAGTGGAGGATGGAGATCCATTCCATTTGGGGGGGAACACCTTCCACGTGGAGGGCGGAGGTCGCGTTGAAGTCCCGGCCGGTTCCAGCGTATCTGGGGGAGAGGTCAGTGTTAGGGTTGTTACGGATTTGGTGGGGGGGAAGGCTCATTTCCACATTTTCGAATTTTTGTTTTTGTTTTTTTTTAATTCCACGCATGAAAAAAATCAATAGAAAACTTAGCAAATTCGCTAGAAAATTCTATAGGAATTCTATGGGATTTCTATTGGAATTCTATTGAAAAAATTGACTTGTTTTTTGCGCTGATTCTATTGCATATTTGATAGGAAAACGTCAATATACTTTGAATTTCTGTTCGAATTTTTCTCTTGGGATTTTTTCTATTAGAATTATTGGGCACAAATTTTCTAATTTTTTTCCGCTGGATTTTGTTTTGTTTTACATTGCAGAATCCAAGTGGAAAAAACATGGAAAATTGATGTCCAAGCATTCTTATAGAATAAATCTCAATGGGTAAATTCAAACAAAAATTAGAAACCCCATAGAATTCCTACACAATTCCCACAGAATTTTCTAGCGAATTTGCTAAGTTTTCTATTGAATTTTTTCATACGTATCAAGATATTTTCATTTTTTTCATTTTTTTGCTTCCGAATGGACGCTTTGTAATCCTTCAAATTTAAGTTTTTGATTTTTTGTGTTATATCGACTAAGCATGTTCCAAAAAATCCGAAAATGTGCAATTTTATGTATCAAAGTTTTTCTTCAATTGTTCGCTAATGAATGGAGGGAATTGAATTTTTTTTCAAAGGTAGGTATTATTGAGCCCTATCAATCGCCCTTAATCAAAATTTAATTCATCGATTAATTTTTTTAATTTTCGAATTTTTTCGAGAATCGATTGTCCCACGATAAGTGACAAAATTTTTTTGAATTGATTGACTGATGGCTTAAAAAATTTGTTTAGATATCCTTTTGACCGAGTTCGAAGATAAAGGCGATACCAGTAAGCTTTATTTTGATTTATTTGAAAATTTGTAAAAATTTTGTATTTTTTGAAAATCAGAATTTCCGGGATATCTTTGAATATCAAGCCTCAAATGAATTCAATCATAGCTTAAAATGATTGTTTCAATGCCATTAATTCAAAGTTAAAAGATGATTACGATAGCTATATTGATTGATTTGATTTCTATGATGATTGTTGAAAATTTCCAATTTTTCATGAATTTCCCTGAAAATAAGCTTTTTGATGGTTTCTTCAAATTTGATGGTTCAAATTCATTCAAGTATAAATAAATAAAAATTTTCGCCTCCAGAGATTATTAATTTTTCATAAATTGCTTATTTTCTAGAAGGAAGACTTTTAATTAATTTTTTAATGTTGATCATTATTAAGGAAGTTCACTCAAGGTCATATCTAACATGCTCATCTTCTAGAGCTATATAATCGTCATAATTGAAATCTAATGAGAATTCCCTGGGAATGACTCCACACGAGAAACATGGTGTTGACAAAATAAATACTTCCCTCAAGTAAATGGACATTTAGCAAAAATATTTTTTTTCTCAGTGTAGTTGTTGAAATTCACCAAATAATTTTCTCCACGTACTGTCTCATTTCTAACCAACACTCACTTTATGGTCACATGTCGCAGGATGGACTTGGATCTCCTCACGTAGAAGGTGTTCTCCTGGATTAAAGGCCTCTCGAACACAGCTCCCTCGAACCTTATCCCCCGCCAGTGATTCTTGGCCTGTCCAGCTCCATCGTGACGTGGAGAACAGGCGATACTGAGGTCTGGGTGGTAGTCGCAGACTCCGGCACCCAATTGTCTCGACGACCACTGCGCGCACTCCTGCAGCGACGACTCGGTCCCTTGACATCCTGGCTCCTCGTACAGCAGACGCGGTGTTGCCGGCCACAGGCGGTCCAGCCAACCCGACCAATTGCCACCCTGGAAACCGAGCTCTCTGCATGCTGTCTCGTAATCTGCTCGAGTCCAGTTACGAGAGTTCGTGCAGACAGATCGCCATGATCCTTGATGGAGAAGTTGTATTCTACCTTCTAGGGGACTTGGCCCATCGACCAAGCGAATGGACCTCGGCTCAGGCTGACTGGACGGGGCCTCCGAACTCGTGAGAACGATCGGTACACCTGAATCGCCCTGAAAATTTTATAGAAAATTAATTTCACGTCGTAAATTATCAGAATATTTTATTTTTATTTTCATGAATATTTATTTTTATATATTTTTTTATTGATTTATTTTACTATTTTTTAATAAAGAATGATTTATTTGTAATTAAAAGAGAATTCAATTCCCTCTGCTTTATTTCGGAAAAGTGGAAGAGAAGGGAATTTAGCCCCCGTTCAGTCAGCCTGACCTCGGCTCAGGCTGACTGGACGGGGCCTCCGAACTCGTGAGGACGATCGGTACATCTGAATCGCCCTGAAAATTTAATAAAAAATTAATTTCACGTCGTAAATTATCAGAAGAATAATTTATTTTTATTTTTATATATTTTTTTATTGATTCATTTTGCTATTTTTTTTATGAAGAATGATTTATTTTCAATTTTAAAAAATTTTAATGGCCCTGCTTCATTTTGGAAAGAAGAAGAGAAGGGAATTGAAGATGAATAAAATATTGAAAATCGTAAATAGTACAAAAAGTAAAAAAATTCTCAAATTCCAAAAGTTTTTTGAAATTTTTTGTTCGAAGCATTTGGAAAAAATATTCTAATGAAAATTAGATGGAAACCAATCCAAAATTGGAACTAATAAGTGGCGTTTGATGTGGAAAAAATCTTAAAATTTGACGGATTGCTCAGGATTTTTTTTTTGCTTACTTTGAGTTTATAATTAAGAAATAAAAATCAGATAATAAAATAAGAGAAATTGAAAATTATCAAATTACTTCTCACAGTCAACTCTCCAGATATTAAATAAACAAAATTGATTTCATGAAGCAAAACACAAAACAATTAATCATGAATAAATTTTCGAAAATTGCAGGATTCGAATTCAATTATTAAGAAAAATGATTCAGAAATATCCCCAAAAATTCAGGGAGAAAATCTGGAAAATGCAGTAAGAAGACTTAGAAATTCAAAAATCATGAAATTTACATAGAAATGCAATGAACGGCAATTAAAAAATTCGTCATAAAAAATTGTTTTTGAAATAAAAAATTGAAAAATACTTAAATGTAATCATTTTTCAGAGAATTCAAGCAAGTTTTCTACTTAAAAAATGATTAAATTAATTAATCCTTTAATCTAAAACGTAAAAAACCTCTCAATAGAAAAAAATTAATCCTTCAAGATTCCAAATTCTTATTAAGATTCAAATTTAAAAAATTGCGAAGAATTGCATGAAAGGAATTCAATATCCAATGGTCAATATCAAATTGTCGAGAAAATGATATTCTAGAAGATTTTAAAAGATTGTAACACATGAGTGAGGAATAATTCAACGAGAATAATTGAATCGATCGGTAGTCACTCATGAAATTAATCCGATGGCTGTAAACAGCCCAATATAAATTCCCCCCATTGAAATACCGCGCCGATAGTAGCCCTCAATGGGACTAACTACTGCGAGTGTTTCCGTTCACTCAAGCGATGCGTAGAATTCCGAGAATTGGTGAAATTTCAGAACGGAGAGTGTTGAATGGAATCATTCACAAGCCGAATAAAATTGGTCGACTTTATTCATCGAGTGTACGAACCCGTAAATTCACAAAATGTAATTAAAATAATATTTTTAACAATTTAACTAAAATTCATGATTGTAAACCAAAAATTGAAATGTTAATAAAAAATCAATTGTAATTCGAAATTTTCGAAAGCACTTGGAGATAAGTAATTTCAGTTTTTTTTTTATTTAAAAAAAGTGAATAAAGTTCAAACAAAAAATGTTTTTTTACGTTTTCACAATTCACAAAATATTCACAAAATGTACCGCGACGAAATAGACTCCCTCACCACTAAAATTATATTTTTAACATTTTAAATAATTCATGATTGCAACCCAAAAATTGAAATGTTAAAAAACAATCAATGGTAATTCAGAATTTTCGAAAGCACTTGGAAATGAGTAATTTCAGATTTTTTTTTAATTTAAAAAAAGTGAATAAAGCTTCAATGAAAAATGTCTTTTTACGTTTTCACAATTCAGAAAATATTCACAGAATATGCCGCGACGAAATTGATTTCCTCACCATTAAAATTATATTTTTAACAATTTTAGTAAAATTCATGATTGTAAATAAAAAATTGAATTATTAAATAAGCAATAAATTCTAATACGAATTTTCTAATGCACTTGGAAATAAGTAATTTCTGATTTTTTTTAATTAAAAAAAAATGAATAAAGTTTTAACAAATAAAATTTTTTTTAATGTTGAAAAATGTTCGTTTCGTGGGGAAATGTACGTTATGCCACCGAATAATAATTTTTTCCGTTCGAAAATACTAAAATGGAATTGTGAGTTAGAAATTAGCTATTTCACTTTTTTTAAAAGCACTTAATATCACTGAATAAATAGATTAATGAAACTCATTACCGATTTCCCTCTCGAATTTCGTAAATTACGATGGCATAATTACTTCGAAATTGGGTAATTATAGTCTCGTTAAATATTAATGATGAATAATGTAGTGGACTATTAGAATGAACCGATGGAGGGGCGATTAGAACGGGCGAATTAAGTGTCTTACCTTGGACACTCCCGAAACACGACTGAGGATGAGTAACAGTCCTTGCCCACTTATATACCTCCGCGAAGTCATACAGAAATTGGGGATTATATCGATCGTTAATTCACAGAATTTTTCACACGCTCGTTCACGATTCCTGACAATTCAATTCGTCTGGACGAGAAGCAAAATTCTTTTAGAGATTAATCATCGAAGAAAAGCTAATTCAATATAAAATTAGTTGACGAAAATAATTGAATAATTTATAAAATTGATAAAGAATAATAGACAGTGGAAATCTCGTATTTTTTTTTAAATTTAATTGAAGTTCTATCAGAATTCAATTGAAATTCGATCAAAAATCCTATTTGTTTTTTTTTCACTGAATTCTATTGAAAATTATGAAATTTCTGGGGCTGATTTTTCAAAACAAATATTTGATGGTACAAAATTGAAATTGTTTCCCTATTTTTTTTTGTTTCTTATTGACAAAACAATTTATAAAATTTACGACTAATAATTCTTGTAGGAAAAATCTGTACCGAATAATTTTTCTACAGAAAAATCAACAGCACCTCATTTTCATCTATCAGGTATCTATTGAAAAATGCATTGGCCCAACAACATCGATTTTTTAATAGAGCTCTGAGGAATTCGAATAGAACTACAATAGAATTTTTATTGAATTCCGCTGAAAATTCAATAGAATTTATTTGAAAAGGCGCATGGGTTTCCTGCCGACTGTTATAAACTTGCGGTATTTCATTTTTTTCCATCTTATGAGCGAGAAAATTCTCTACCTGAATTTAAAACATTATTATTTATTAATTTCATTTAAGGGGAGACTACTACAATGAGTTTGAAAAGTCGTGGATTATTGGAGTGAGACTTTTCATACGTTGAAGATCGATTATATAGCTCTGAAAAGAATAATTAGTGCAAAAAAATATTTTTTCTATTGTTCGTCTGCCCGAAAACGCTTAAAATGCCAAAAACAATCCAAGGCCTCCAATTTTTGAGCTACGAATGATTTTTTCTTTCAAAATTTTCGGAAAAAAATGTGGAATAACAATTACGAGCTAGTTTTTTTTAATTCGCCTCTTACATGGCTAAATTTGCTTTTTTGTATTTTTTACACAAATAGTGAATTTTTTTATATGAAAAAAACCGAAATCAGCTGTGTAGGAGCCGAATTCCAAAAAACTGGCTCATAATTGTTGTTTCACACATTTTTCCGAAAATTTTGAAAAAAAAAATCTTTTGTAAAATCGATCTTCAACGTATGAAAAGGCTCACTCCAATAACCCACGACTTTTAAAACTCCTAGTAGTTTCCCCTTAATTAAAGGTATTTTTTGAAGTCGTTATCAATTTTCTTAATGGATTTTATTCTGACAAGAAAAAATTGAAAAATTATTTAGTAAGATCCTCCGATGAGTGTTCGTGTGGCAAAATGCATTATGACGATTAAGAAAAACAAATAACGGAACATAAGTGGGGATAATTCATTTAAACCGGGGCATGAGAGGGATTAAGGGGGCCATAGGTTAACGCCGGTCAAGAACTACAAATTGACCTCCAACCCGTGGTTGTATCACGGAGGCGGATGGAGGTGAATCACTCATTCATGTCGACTCTCACTGGAGTCTCTTTCTCTTTGATAATTAAGGAATTAGAGACAAGTTGAATCTTCCGCAGGGGAGGTTGAACATAATGTAATGAGTTAATTGTCCGGGAATTGCTGAGAGTGATTGGAGAAGACGTTTATTTTTGAGTGTCAACAGTAAAATTACTGACGTAAGAAATTAGACACTCTTACCTCAGACACTTCATAACAAAAATTAGGGGAGCAAATTTTTTTTTTCGTCTCGAAATCTACAATTTTTACGATTTTTACATGTGACTTTTCAAGGAAAATTATGAAACCTGTGAACTTGATTTCTGGAAGATTTTTCTGTAGAACGGAATAAAAAAATTGTAATAATATGAACAATAATGTTTTTAAAGAATATTAATGGTGTCATTGTGAATATTTTGTTGTTAATGATTTTCTTATTAACAAAATTAATTAAAACGTCGATGAATTCAATTGATGTAATGTAAACTTAAATTAAATAACTTCAATTTTGAAGATTAAAATTTGAAATAAATTCTAAACGAATGTTAATATGAATAGAAACATTCTAGTTGAATTCGCGCTCAATCGATAGTATAGTATTATCAATAATAATTAATTTCGAAGTGCAAAAATTCGAAGTGCTTAGGAAGAAGATTAAAATCTTGAAAAAATCTTAACAAATTAGAAAAAATAAATGAAAATTCTATGCCCAATGTGAAGATTATCGTCAGTGTGACGTGTCTATTGAAAATGAGTAAGTGAGTAGATTAATAAATAACACAACCTCTGAATTGAAGGGAAATGAGCAGATTGTGTGAAGACAACTACAGAAGAGGTCTTGATTAAA